CGGCAGCCTGCGCTCGCCATGAAGCGGCCCAGGCAGCCCAGCGGCTCCGACGGAGAGCCGGAGGGACCCATCGACGTGGGCCACGAGGGCGAGCTGAGGTAGGGGCCGGGATGGGGGGACTCGTGCGCCGAGGCCGAGCGGGGTGGGGAGCGCTCCGACGGGCTCACCGAGCAGGGGATTAGTCCTTGGCGCGGCCTCGGGACAGGCAGGTGTGTCCGCGTGCGGGGGCGTGTGCGGCGTGTGACCTTCCACGTACAAGTGCTTGGGACCCTGTGCGCTCTCGGCCACTTGGGGATGGGGCTGCGGGGATGGCGGTGCAGTTCAGCTCGGGGGTCTGATGGCCAGTTGGTGATCCTCTTTCTGTTGAACTGCCCCGGGGAGGCCAATGGTGAAGAATTTTCCCTGAAGATCTTAGGAAACCCTCATAGACTGTTGGTACCACACCCCCTGTGTGGAATCTGCTGACTATCCAGAATAATCATGCTTTCCCAATTTTACCCTAGTTTGGGTGCAGAATTCATGTAGTCCACAAAAGCTTCACAGGGAAGAAAATCTCTCCTCCCTTGAACAAATTGGACTTTGGAGTTAGGGTTTTGGTGCTGAAGAAAATAATAGCTGACTTGCTCTTGACTTGGTCAGTGCAAGGGCTTAGACTCCAATTCCAGTGCTCTTTCTACTGCACCCTGCTGCCAGTGTCTTTCCGGCCTTGGTAAATATTCTGTACTGCTTCAAACCTGCAGAACAAACTGCACTTGTATAGTTCTGCTACCTCCCAGCTCTGTGAACTCTTTAAGCTTCAGTTTCATCATCTATAAAATGGGTATAAATAATAGAACCGATTTCACAGGAGTACTGGGAAAATCCAGTGAGATCATGTATGTTAAGGACTTAGCATAGACCCGATGCATAGCAAATGCTTCATTACCATCAGGCACACACCATGTGATACCCAGCACCCTAAAGAGCTTCGGGGACTGACTGCGAGTCTTCAGGGTTGGGTCCCAGCACTGAACCTGCTATCAATTCACAATGTGGCCTTGGGCCATTGGTTTCCCTGTCTAAGCCTGTTTCCTTATCAGTAAAATAAAGGAGGACAGGAGGGGGAAAGGAAAGGTCACCTCAACTCTCTTGACTCATCCAAACCTGAGTCTCTAGAACAGAATAGGAGGAGAATTCAGTTAATTCTTCTGGATGTTTTTGAGGGCATTTCATAATTTCAATCCTCTTCAGTTTTCTGAGATCAGGGGATTTTGTCTCAATCACAAATCCTAGTAAAATGTCAACTGCCAATTATTTATAACTTATAATAGGGGGTATGGCAATAGGTATCCCTCCTGCATCCTACACATTAGGTTTGGGGGTATATAAAACAATTTCCTATGCAACATATTAGCCTTTTTTAATTGTTAGCAGAAATGAAACCACTATTTAGAGAAGCAATTCCTGAGCCTATGCCTGCTATGGGCAGAGGATGGGCTCAGCACCATGTGGCAGTGGTGGCGGTGCTTCTTCATGGATTAGAAGCACAAAATTGAGCTAGGCTGATCAGAGCTGGCTTCTGTCCCCCATGAGTTTGCAGCCTGGTCAGTGATCCGCCAGATCACTCAAAGACCATGGACAGAATGGAAAAAGAGACAGACTGTGGGCTGTGAGAGCAACTAAGCAGGGAGAGGCTACTCACAACCGAAGATGGCAAGGAGGGTTTCTTGATGGTGGTGGCATTTGGGCTAAGGCATAAGGGAGCAGTGGGCAGATTTTTCCTGCACAGCATTTTGTCATTTCAGCCTGAGCCCATTTTTAGAGACTGTTCTTAAAGGAGCAGACCCCTCCAAGGAGAGAAAGCAGTTGGACATCTGGCAGACGCTGACTTATAGATGCCTCTTTGTAGCACTCACCAAAGGGCCCTCCCCCCAGCAGACATCAATGCTTCAATTCAGGGAGTGCTGAACCATGCCTGCTGTGGTCCAGACCCTGGGCTGGGCGTTGGGGGGCCCAGATGTATCCTGCTCAGCCACTGACCTCAGGGAACTCTCAGGGAAGAAGAGCTTCACCCACAAAGAAAGCCAGAGAAACAGTAACAAGGGCCACAGGTTTGGGGCAGCCAGCCTCCAGGGTGCAAATCTCCCCAACTCAGAGACATGAGAGTAAAGAGCAGGGTATGTTTGTTCCCTTGTCACTGTGGACACCTGCCTGGTGGTAGTATACTGGCCCATCTGTGGGAATCACCCACAGAGCTCCTAGCTGAACCCAGCCCCCTGGCACATGCTGGGTCCAAACTGAGAATATAGCCTCTCTCCCCTCCCTCTGCAAACATCTAGTGGGCACTTGTCACATGTCAGGCTCTTGATCAGGGTCTCTGGGTCTTGATCAGGGTCATTCCTACATGATTTAAGGCATATGGTGGCCTTTGAAGTCAGATAGACCTGAGTTTGATTCTCATTACCATTTACTTGGGCAAGTGACTTTACTCCTTTTTGAACCTTGGTTTTCTTTCTTACAAAATGGGTATGCTAATACTTGCCTGACAGGTGAGGCTTTGATAAGGTAATGTACATAAAGCACATAGCTCCTTGCTTTGGCACAAGGTAACTTCCAATAAGTGCTGCTGTCTAAGGGGTCACCATTCAGTTGGGGAACACCATGTTCATGAGGCAGCATGGTATAATGAAAAGACTAGAAGTTTGAAGACTGGACTTACTGGGCATAATTCTCAACTCTGAATCTCTGTCATCCCACCTATAAAATGACTATTTTTCCTAAATGTAAAATGGCCCAAATACTACTTAACTCAAAGGCTATTGTGCAATAAATGAGACAAATGGATATGGAAGTGCCGTCTAGAACCAAAAGTACTGGCCATGAGATATACATGATGGGATGATGAACACATGGGGTGCACTGGAAAGAGTACTGGATTAAAAGCCAGTAGACCTGGCTCTAGTTTTGGTTTTTCCTCTGACTTGTTGTGTGGCCTAGGGAAGATCCCCTCCCCTCTCTGAGTTTCCTCATTTTAAAAATGGGCTCAGTGCTCTCTGAGATCCCTTCATTTGGGACATTGTGATTCTATCTTTGGTTGGGACAAAATGTGTGGGGTCATCTGCAAGGGTTCCACAGGGGGAGTTTCCAGGGGAGTGAGCACTGAGGGTGGTCACGACTGGCAGCCAGACCACTTAGAAAGCTGTCCTTCCCCTGCCCCCACTCCCGCCCCAAGACCGCCCCAGAATTCTGGCTAGTGGCCACTAGAGGCCCATGGGGCAGATCTTGGTGGTCAACATATCTTCTCTGGGTCCTTGAAAATGTGCCTTATTTTCAGACTCTCAGATGAGAAGCTCCCACGCCCCCTCCCACTGTCAGGGCCAGATCACAGGCTGGAAGTGAGCTCTGGCTGGGCTCTTGGGAGTTTTCTGGATAAGGGAACTGGAGGGCTATTCAGACAGACAGGAAGTAAAAATTAGGAGGGAAAACAATGCTGAATTTGGAGCCAGAAGACATGGATTCCCATGCTGGCTTTGCTCCTTGGCAGCTGCGTAGGCTGGGCAAGCTGCTTGAGCTCCCTGAGGCTCAGTGTCCTCATCTGTAAAATGGGGCTTTTGTAAAGCTCAAAGTAGGGAAATATATGTAGTGGTGCTAAGAAAACTGTAAAGTGAGGTTTGCCTGTGAGATATAGGGGAGGGGGGATAATACTGCAGAGAAAAACTGACCAGGAGACTGGGAAAAGGGATGGCAGAGCTGGCTTGCCCTGAAATGAGTGCATCAATCTCCAACAGATGGTCCCAGAGGAGGGATCAGGGTGAGAGGCAGTGACGTGTGCAAGGCTAACCCAATACCCTGAGAGGCACTTTATCCAGCCCAAGGGAACAAAGGCTGTGTTTCTTAGTGTACCCTGGCTCTTGAGGCTTGTCCCCAGTGAACCAGTGAAACTTTGTAAATGAGCTGCCCTACAGATCTCCGGATCAGGACATCTAAGCCCTGGACCTAGCTTGCTAGGTACTCCCTCCCAGGAGCATTTACAGGCTTCTTACCAACCCTCCTTGTCCTGATGTTTGGATGGGAGATATCCTTTTCCAGATGTGGCAGGACAAAGCCAGGAGCCTAGCAGTAGGATGTGACAAATGCTATCTGGTCTCTCCTGCAACTTTCTCTCTTTGAGCAGTTGATGAAAATGATCCAACCTCAAAGGCCAAGAAGGTAGTCAGGTGGGCTGGGACCCTCGTGGCGAACTACATATGCTTCCACTTCACTAAGGCCTAGGATGTAGATTTTATGGTGCTCACCTCTCCATTCCCCAGTCATGCCAAAGACAAGGGCTTGTTTCATTCACTATCACAGTCCCAGTACTCAGCAAGTGCTTTTGGAACATGGCAGAGCTCATGATAGTGAATGAAACAGACATGATTTACGGCCTCATGGAGCTTATGGATTTGTTAGAGATATAGACACTAATAAAATAACCAGGGGCCGGCCTGTGGCTCACTCGGGAGAGTGTGGTGCTGATAACACCAAGGCCATGGGTTCGGATCCCATATAGGGATGGCCGGTTTGCTGGGTGAGCGTGGTGCTGACAACACCAAGTCAAGGGTTAAGATCCCCTTACCGGTCATCTTAAAAATAAATAAATAAAAAATAACCATATAAACGTAAAACAACAAACTGGCATAAATGTTGCAAATGCAGAATTCTAGAACAGTATAGAGCAGGGGACACCTAGTGCGAGGGGGATGTCAGAAAGCCTCCCTATGGAGGTGACATTTGAGTTGAGATCTGAAGGATGGCAGAAGTTACTAGGCAAAGGGGCTGGGGCTTGGGGTGGGAGATGGGGTGGACCAGAGAATTGTAGGCTAGGGAAACAGTGTGTGCAACCCCAGGAAGTAGTTTGTGCATTCATAGGCTGGAGCACACAGATCAAGATAGAGTTGAATCTAGGGGGTGACAGGAGCCAGCTGGGCCACCTGCAAGATGGTAGCCTTGATCCTAAAAGCACTGGGAAGCCAATGAGGAGTTTTAAGAGGGTGACAAGATCAAATGTGCATTTAAGTGATCACTTTGCCTGCCTATCATGGGAGATAGGCTTGTAGCCGGTAAAGAGGGTGCGAAGGGATCCAACAAGAAGAGGCTGTGGCAGCCGTCCAAGTGAAAGATGATAGAGGCTTGGCCCTGAGAGGGACCAGGGAGAGGAAGAGGACACACACGAGATATATTTTAGACATGGAAGGGGCAGGTTTTGATGAGGTGGGGTTGGGGACGGAGGAGGAATCAAAGATGGTGCCAGGTTTCCTCCTTGCAGAACTGGAAGCTGGGACGGGGAACCCAGGGGGACGAGGAGCAGGTGTGGGGTGAAGCCAAGCTCATGGGTTCCTGTTCACACGTGTGGCGTTTTGCATCCCAGACTGGCAGGAAAGTCCTCTTGTTGTTTGTCGTTTGTCTCCCCACTGGAGCTGAGCTCCTGGAGGACTGGCCTTTAGCCCCTGCCCTGGGCCTGAATAGGGTCCCAGAAGTGCTGGCAATGCACGATGCCTCAGTGCGACCCAGGGAAGCTCTCCATTCGAAGGGAGCCTCTGGAGGAGAAATACGTGAAGAGGGCGAGCAGTCGGGCTGGAGATTATTTTGGTTACAGTATGGCAGGAAAAGCCCTGGGGCTGAGCCTCTTCTCTGTAATGGGAACTCCTGGGGTGTGAGCAGACATTCATCATCCAGCCGGGGCTGGCTGCGAGGGGAGGCCCAGAGCGGGAGGGAGGCGGAGGAGAGGGAGGACCGGGGCCTTCTGGGAGGCCAGGACACTGTCCCGAGCCTCCGAGAGAGGCCTGGGACCCCCACTACCTGATTTCTCAGAGAATTGCTCTGTTTTCCTCAGAGGTCACTTATGCAATCAATAATTGTCTTCATTTTGACAATTTTTCAACGGGAGGAAAGACGTTCATGTGTTAACACTCTGCTCTTTCCACGCTCCTTCCCGGCGGCTCCCTCTGAAACCCAAGCCGCCCGGCCCGGCCCCGCCGCCGCCGGCCCGTGCCCTCGGCCGCCCCGCCCCCGGGGATCGGGTTGCAGGAGCCCGAGAGGCCGCGCCGCGGTTCGCGGTCCCCCCCCTCCGACGGCCACCGCGGGGACCAAGGGCCGAGGCCAAGCAGGTCGGGCCCAAGAGCCAAGCTCCCCGCCGCCGCTCAGGGTGCATGGGAGGACTTAGCCCGGGAGAGACGGGCCTGGGAGGGAAGGGGAGCGAGAGCAAGCGCCCCCTCCCACGCCCGCCTGCAGCCCTTCCCGGCCTCCAAGGAGGTCAGCCCGGGCCAGCGAGATGGTCCCCCGGCTCTGAAAACCCGGCCTGTCTCTTCCTCTGCAGCCAGATGGCCAGGCCGCTGTCCTCCCCCAGCCCCTCGCAGATGCAAGCCAGGAAGAAACGCAGAGGGGTGAGTGTCCCTCTAAGCCTCTGAGTTGCCCAACACAGGTTCGCCCTGACTCCCCAGGGGCCTGGCCGGGAGAACCCTGGTCAGAAACATCACCCGAAGCTGACTGCCTGGGTTCAAATCCCGCTGTGCCAGTAGCGATCAGGGTGACTTTGGGCAAGCCACTTAACCTCTCTGTGCCTTATTTCCTCATCAGTGTAGCTGGACTCATGACAATACATATCTCAAAGGGCTGTTCTGAAGATTAAGTGAATTAATGTAACCTGCTCTGAACAATATCCAGCACACAATAGCCTGTTATAATCGTCTGTTCCAGCCTCCCTGCTCTATCCTATCTTCTGTTCCTCTCTAAGCCCAGAACTTTCATTTCCTCTCAGTGTGCTGAACTGGGGGAGAGGGACAGAAGGAGGGCACCCCCGCATCCCCGCCACTTGCTGCTGTCCATCTTACCGAGCCTCACTTTCCCCCAGGATGCAGCTGTGCTCATGCACTGGGAGTCCAGACACCTGGGATCTGGCACAGACCAGCCCTGCCACTCACTAACCATAAGCTCTTAGGCAGACCATTTCCTTCCAGCCCTCATTTTCTTTATTTGTAAAATGGGGTTCATAATGTCTGCCCGGCTATCCCTATTCTGCTGCGAGTATTGTGAGGGGAGAATGAGATAGTGTGAATATGAAAGCCTCTGCAGCTGGAGAGAGCAATGCCTAGGACCCCTCAGTCCTCCTCGTGACCCAGCAACTGAAGAGGTAACCTTGGCCCAGCGGGGTCCTCCGGGGTCTGCTCCAGCTCTGTGCTGGTGTCCCCATTCTGATTGGCTGGTGCCCTGCTGTACCAGTGGTTAAACATTTTGAATAATAATCTTACAAACCAAGACAAGCGATCTGAGTTCTACTCTCAGTTCTGCACTTTCTTGCTGTGTGACCTTGAGCAAATCACTGTCCCTTTCTGAGTCTTGGTTTCCTCCTGCATAAAGTAGGAATAGATTTATCTCTCTCACAAAAATATCGTGAGGGAAAATATGAGTCAAAGACTACCAGGTCACATTGGAAACTGTAATGAAGTGCCCGTGTATAACTTATCACTAATTTTTTAGATCATAGAGAAAAGGCGCCGAGACCGCATCAACAGCAGCCTTTCTGAATTGCGGCGCTTGGTCCCCACTGCCTTTGAGAAACAGGTATGTGACATTGCCTATTTTGCTAGAGGAAATACTGTGTGGGTGGCAGTTAAGGTTCATTTCTCATGGCATCTCTTATTGATGGGTAGTGACTGCCTGAGGCACTATGAACATTTACCAATATGTGTCATTGGCCAGGAGATAAGGGGAATAATGGAAATTTATACTTAGTGATGTATCTCAGGTGTTGTGGCTTTATGTCCATCACCCCACTGAAGCAAATCTTTAAAGTGATCCTGAAGGGTAGAGATTATTGTGTCCATGACACAGGTAAGGAAACTGAAGCACAGAGAGGGGAAGTAACTTACACCAGATCGTACAGCTAGTAAATAGCTGAGCAGACTTGGAGCACACAGGGCTGTGTGATTCTAAAGCCCCCCAATCCCTCTGCACTAGCAACATTTCCAGAGCTATTTGAAAATGGAACAGGCTGCTCAGGGAGTGAGCACTCTATCATTGAACAGGTTTGGGTGGGTGGACTACTGTGGGGAGTAGGACCGTTGAACCAGACAGCCTCAAAGATTCTCACCCTATGCTCCATGGCACCGGTCATCTGCCTTCCCTGATGCTGGTGAGAACAAGTTAGTCATTCCACAGATGTTCAGTAAAACCTGGTATCTGCCCTCAGGGAACTCACACGGAGAGCCTGACCCTCAGGTTTCACCTGGGAGGCCAGGTGATCCTGGTGACTTAGGAAACATTTCTCAGGAGAGAGAATAGAGGATGAATAGGTGCTTACGGGGTAAGATGATGAACTAGATCTTGGGTGCATGGAGTCTGAAGGTGGAGTCCCAGTCGAGCTGGTCTAGGAGGCAGGTGGGTATGCACGAGTGGCCTTCTGGTGATGGTGGAGGAAGCCATGGAGGTAGACAAGACCCTCTGGGGAGAGCATGCAGAGCGAGAAGAGAAATGGGCTAGCACCCACTAGGAAACACCACTGTTTTAAGGGACAGGCAGAGCAAGAGGCAAGGGGAAAAGGGAACCCAGAAAAGTGGTGTCACGTAAGTCAAGGGAGGAGGGTTTTGGGAAGCATAGTCTGCAGTGCAATGGACAGGTGGACTGAGACGAGAACCGAAGACAATCATTTAGATTTGAAGATCTTGGCCAAAGCAGAAGCCCAATTGCAGGCAGTGACAGCGAGAGAAAGGCGAGAACATTGAGACAGTGAGTGCTGACGACGATGGCAAGGAGAGTGAGCGGAAGAGGTCAGCTGGAGGCTTCACTCTGTCTTCTGAACACACAGGGCTCTTCCAAGCTGGAGAAAGCCGAGGTCTTGCAGATGACGGTGGATCACTTGAAAATGCTCCATGCCACTGGTGGGACAGGTACCAATGCCATTCTCTCCCAGGAGTTCACATAGCAGATATTTTAGTCTGGGCCCTAGGGGTAGGCTGGTGAGTGGAGTAGATGTGGTCCCTGTCCTCATGGAGCTCACAGCGTCTAGAGGGGCTGAAGCTGACCCAGGAGGAACATTCACTAAGTGTGTCTCTCCTCGTTCAGCATCTCCACTTTCAGTGTCTCCATTTGTCCCAACCGTTTCCTCAACCTGACTCCTTCCAGTCTTAGACATTGGGAGCTTTCTTCTGTAACAGACTGTTCCTACTTGTCGTACCTCCCACCCAGGTCATTAGGGCTAAGGATTAGCCTGAATCAGCTAATTATCCCTGGGATCCCAGTCTGTGACTCCCCTGAACCCAGGGAGGGCCCCGCGTGAGATTTTTAGCCACAGGCACTTCACTGATCTCCCTACCCCCTGGGCTAGCCTTTCGGGCTGTGGTTGTGTCCTTGGCAGTGCTGAGGCGATATGTCATACTCATAGCAGTTCTCGGGATTGAAAGTAGAAAGCAAATGTAACTCATTCTGTTATTTTAAGCTAGTTCATTACAATAAAGTCATGGAACTGTGGCTTTAAAAAGACTTCCAGACAAATGGAAATTTTGTCTATACAAAGCTTCTCTGTGTGTTTGGTGATTTCACAATTAGGAAACTTCAAAAGCTCCACAGACCTTGGCCACAAAGACCCAAGCCCCAAAGATTTAACTTGCTACCCTGGCATAGGACAGTTGCATTTTGGGTGGCACAGCCTGGTGCTTCCCAAGCCTCAGTGGGCAGAAGTATCATCTGGAGGCAGGCAGAGTCATGGGTCACTTCCCAGAGATTCTGAGGCAGTAGGTCTGCATTGGGGTTTAGGAGTTTGCAAGTTTAACAAGCCCACCCAATAACCCTGATGCAGGTGGTCCCTTTGGGAACTTCTGCCAATGGAATGCATCGCTAACAGTGGAGACTTCTGTCTCTAATGAACCAGTGGGGGAGATATTTTCAAATTACACTTATGGTTATCCAATTAAAAGAAAAGTAGAGAGTAATATGTGGGCAGCATTTCACAGTTTTCAAAATGCTTTTGCTTGGGTTGTCTCATTGATTCTCACAAGAGCCTGGAAGGCAAGGGTTGCTGTCATAACCATTTTCTGGCTAAGGGCTAATGGGAAGACAGAATTGTGGTTTACAGTGCAGTCTTTGGGTTTGAATCCTGGCTCTACTACTTACTAGCTTTATAACCCTGGACGAATGATTCAATCCCTCTATGCCTTAGTTTCCTCATCTCTAAAATGGAAATAATGAGAGTGTTTTTTAAAGGTTAAATTAGATAATGTAATTAAGTGCTTAGTAAGGACTCACTAAATGTTAGTTGAGAATAACAGCAAGTATAGGAAGGTGAAGGGATTTGGGATTTGCTCGAAGTCACACAGCTAAGAATACAGCAGAGCCCAGTCTCACCCCCAAGTTGGCCTGACTCCAAACATAGCCTCTTGCAGAGCTGCTCATCTGTCAGGGCGCCAGCCATGAGCCAGGGACCGTAGTCATGAGGCCAGTGCTAGCTGAGGCTGTTCTGTTTGTCTTTGCCCAGCAGGGGTCGAGGGAGGGGCAGGTATGGAGAAGCATGAGGATGTTAACACCTGTGTGAACAGTTCACCTGGTCATCCCTCACTGACGTCAGGCCAAAGAGAGGGTCCCTGGCCTGATTGGCAGCAGCTGAGGACCAGAGTGGGGTTCTCTCTGGGGTCCTCGGATGCCAACATGGGCCAAGCCAGTAATATAAATGATAGCTAACTTTTCATTTATTGAGCATTTTCTGTGCACTGTTTTATTTAATTATACCCTCACAACTCTGTGCAGCAAGTACTGTTATATCCCCATTTTACAGCTAAGGAAATGAGGCTTAGAGACTTGTCCACAGTCAGGCACCTACTTAAGTGGCAGAGCCAGGATTTGAACCCAGCTCTGCCAGCCTCCAAAGACCTCCTGCTTCACTGCTGCTCTGTGCTGCCTTCTCCCAGAGGCCTCCCAGCTCTGATGGCTGCTGTCGCTCCCTCCCCTCCCCACATCTGCCCGTCAGCAGGCAGGGCTGTTCTACACTTCCATGTGCACAGCCTTTTCACGCCTGGCAATGTCTACTTCAATGAAGTTATCTTGGCCACAGTTTCTTCTTTGCATTGATCATGAGTTTTGATGAAAACAATACCTTGCATTTGATAATGCTTCATAATTTAGTGAACTCGTTTGATCCTCACAACCTACTACCCTCCAACCCAGGTAAGGATTTTCATTCTCGAGACTGGGGCTCAGAGAGGTGAGGGGACATGCCCAAGGTCACCCAGGGAGCAAGTGGGGGAGGCGGGTCCAGAGCGCAGACAGCCTGACCCAGGCTCCGTGCTTCTCCCCACACCTGGCATGCCTTCACTGTGCCTCACTTTTCAGGATTCTTTGATGCCCGAGCCCTGGCAGTCGACTTCCGGAGCATTGGTTTTCGGGAGTGCCTCACTGAAGTCATCAGGTACCTGGGGGTCCTGGAAGGGCCCAGCAGCCGTGCGGATCCTGTCCGGATTCGCCTTCTCTCCCACCTCAACAGCTACGCAGCTGAGATGGAGCCTTCGCCTATGCCTGCCAGCCCCCTGGCTTTCCCTGCCTGGCCCTGGTCCTTCTTCCATAGCTGTCCAGGGCTGCCGGCCCTGAACAACCAGCTCTCCATCCTGGGAAGAGTGCCCGGCCCTGTCCTCCCCAGCGCCTCCTCTCCTACTTACCCCATCCCGGCCCTCCACAGAGCCCCTGGCCCCATCCTGCCGGGCAGGAGGAATTTGTTGCCAATTCGAGGGGCATCGTCCATCCGGAGGACCCGCCCCCTGGAGAGGCCAGCTGCCCCTATACCCATGGCTCCCAGCAGCAGGGCTGCCAGAAGCAGCCACCTCGCTCCCCTCCTGCGGTCTTCCTCTCCCACACTCCCTGGTGCTGCGGGGTCCCCTGCTTACGTGGCTGTTCCCGCCCCCAGCCCATCTCCCCCAGGGCTTGCTGGGAGGCCAGCAGGAGCCATGCTCTACCACTCTTGGGTCTCCGAAATCACTGAAATCGGGGCTTTCTGAGCTGGCTCCCACATGCCTCACCCCACCCCTCAACCCGCAGGAGTAGGATGGTTCTTTTTCCAAGAGCTCTAAACATGGCACCGCTTTTTCTGCTTTGCTTCCTGGACCGGCTCCTACATGAAGGCACCTTGTTCACACATCAGAGGCCCTCTCCTCCTTCAGCCCACCTCTGCTCCTCACTGCTCGTCCCTGCGTATTCACCCAGCTCTCCTGCAGCTGTTCTGATCACAGAGGCTTGGTCCTATTGCCCACCTGCACAGATGAATCCTGGGACAGCCCCTAAGAGCTGTGCCCAGACCCCTCTCCTGCCCAGTACACACGGGGCAGCAGGCATGAACCTTGGGCCTGGGAATGAAGCTTTACCCAAAAGGGTGCCAGGACCATGGCCCGAGGCAGGCTGCTTCCGTAGAGAGGTTAGACCCCAGTGAGGAGCAGTGTCTGACTTCCCAGGCCAAGGGGCTGCAACACAGCGTCTGCCTCACTTCTTGGAGATGGTAACTGGGCAGGGGCCACAAAGAGGCCCCCTGGGAACCCCGTCTACCCCTGCCTACCTGCCTCTGGGCCACTCCATCAACAGGACAGAACTGTTCTCCATGACTGCCAAGGCCTGGAGATGGGGGGCTAAGTAGGCCCTGCTCTCACCCTCCCCCCCAGCTGCAGACACTGTCCTCCAGCTGACTAATAGTTCTCTGCACACAGTTGGCCTGACAAGCCCAGCTGGAAGGTTTCTGGGCAGCAGCAAAACTCTGACAGGGTGTCCTCCACACCAGGCCTCGGACAGCTCTCCCAGACAGGAGCCAGGCTTGAATGACAGAGAACTGGCTCCCTGCCTCTGACGGTCACCATCCTCTCAGCGTGCGGTCCTTCCCTGTTGGGTGCACAGTGTAGAGGGGCGATGCCCCACGTGACGGCACCCAGAGAGGAATCCTCTTGGGATTCAGCACCAGACGTCTGTGCTGCCTGGTTTGCATCCGGCTCACAGAGCCCAGACTACTGGAACAGCCAAGAGCTGTCAGGCTGGACAAAAATAACTGCGACGAGGGGCAAGAGGAAGGACACTCAGGGGCAGCTTGGCCCTTCAAGGTCACGCAGTGGGTCAAGAGCCTGAGATCCTGCTCACCCAGGATTCCACACAGCTGGCTCTGCTCAGAGGCCATTTCATTACCCAGCTCCACCCCAGGCCACTTTCCCCCAGCAGAGAGAACAAATGGCCCAGTGACCTCATTCCCAGTGGAACAGCAGGGACTGGACTGACAATCAGCAGGACCAGTGTTGCCATACCAGTTGATGAAATGTAGACACACTTCTGTGCTCATCAGTAAATGTTTGTTACCCCCGAGTGTCCCCCACCACCCAGCATTTCCTCCCAGAACCCCTATGATCTGGGTAATGCCTGGCAGACCCCCGGCTGTGAGGTCCTTGAGCTGGCAGTTTATTGGCACTCATTCCACACTGGCTATTAAATACTTCAGGTGTCACCCCTAGGAAGATTCACCCATTCCCACCCTTTGATAGAACCATTCTCCCCAGAGCCTGCATTGAAGAGACTCCATGGGCTCAAAAGTGCAGTGTGCAAAGACCCTTGGGGAAAAGGGCCCTTTCAGAGAAGTGGGTAAGAGGACAAAGATCATTTGAGTGACCCAGAAAGCTCTTGAAAAGGCAAAGTCCTCAAGGAGTGATGAAGAGGTAAGTAGTTCTTTCACTCCTTAGCATGAGCTGGTTGGGAGGACACATTGCTGTCGTCCAGGGCCCGTCGGAGCTCTGAGCTCTGCAGCAGCGAGGAGCGAGGGCATTGTTTCAGAGAGTGGGCACTGGCGGGGAGTGCGCCTGACAGTCACACAGTCTCCCAGGAATGGGGTGAGGGGAACAGAGGAGGTGACAGAAGGCAAAGACCAACCTCACTTTTCTTACGAAGGGGCACACTCAGGACAGGAAGAACAGTTCCTCCTCCTCCTCGCCCATTGCTCCCAGGATAGCAGATCAGTGCTGGAGTTCTGCAGTTTGGCAGCTTCCTAGCCTGAGGGTCCAAAGTTCACTCATAGCGGGGCTGTGGGAAATGCATTTTCCATACTGCAGGTACCCAACTCCAGAGGAATCTGTGAACACCGTTGAAATGAGTGCAAATGGCCCAACACTTTCAGCATCTTAGTGATCTTAGGTTCATTCTCCCTGAGCGACTGGGCGAAAAGTGACTGTGTGATTTGTTTCTGTGGCTGAGGACTTGAATCTGTTTCTGTTCCCAAGCCTTCCTGGTAGCCCCAACTCCTGCCCTATTGCAGCGGTTGTTGCAAACATTCAATAAAGATATTTTAGTTCTTCTGGAAACATCCAATAGATTCTACTTCTTAAATATCTCTGGAGTCTGTCCACTTCTGTTTGAACCCACAGCCACTACCCTGGTCTGGCCACATCATCTCCCCCAGATCACTGCCCTGGCCTCCAAAAAGTTTTCCCTCCTGCTTTGTCGGTCAGTCCTCAATAGCAACCAGAGAGAACCTACAGTATGCAGATCATATTTGTGCCAACTCTGGTTGAAAACCCTCACTCTGTTTCCCTGTTATTTTGAAGGTAAAATCCAAGCTCTTCCTCTCTTGGTCCCAACCTTGCTTCCAGCCTCATTTCTTGCCAGTCCCAAACTTGCTCCCTGTGTTCGTGCCACCCTGGCCTTCCTTCATTCCCTCAAAATTCCAACCTCATTCCCACTTCCAGATCTTTGCATATGCTTTTCCTTTTGCCCAGAATGCTCTTTCCTTACCCTTTGCATGGCTGAGTTCTTCAGACCCTAATGCCTTGACTTAAATGTCACCTCCTCAGAGAGGCCTTCCCTGACTACTGTACTTGCATAGTTACTTTATCTCAGAGACCCATATTCTTTCCCTTGGCAAATGAGGAATTTGCCATTGTGTATCCATTGTTTCCTTCCTTGTTGGTGA